GCAGTTTGTCCCCAGCCCTGGTTGGGGTCGTGTGGGTGGCAACCAGTCAATGTGTGTCTCTTACATCGATATTTGTCTCTTTCTCTTCCCCCCTCTTTCCCTTCCATTTTGTCTGAAGATAAATGCAAATATGTCCTCAGGTGAGGATAAAAAAATAAATAAAATAGCATTGAGCCCGGCTGGTGTGGCTCAGTGGTTGAGCATCGACCCATGCACCAAGAGGTCGCTGGTTCGATTTCTGGTCAGGGCACATGCCCAGGTTGTGGGCCAAATCCCCAGTGAGGGGCATGCAGGAGGTGGCCAATTGATATTTCTTTCTCTCTAAAATCAATAAAGAAAAACATTTTAAAAAAGAAAATAGTATGAACAACTACATGTCAACAAGCTGGACAACCTAGGCAAAATGGACAAATTCCTAGAATCACACAGTCTCCAAAACTGAACTGGGAAGAGTTGGAAAACTTGAATAGACCAATAACAACTAAAGAAATTGAAGCTTTAATCAACAAACTCCCAGGAAAAAAAAACACCTGGGGTCAGACAGCTTCACAGGGGAGTCTCACTGAACATTCAAAGAAGAACTAACACCTGTTTTCCTCAAACTATTCCAAAAAATTCAAGAGGAAGGAAGACTTCCAAGCTCTTTTTATGAGGCCAGCATAATCCTAATTCCAAAATCAGATAAAGACACTACCAAGAAAGAAAACTACAGGCCAATATCCCTGATGAACATAGATGCCAAATGCCTCAACAAAATATTAGCAAATTGGATCCAGCAATAAATAAAAAATTTAGCCCAGCCAGTGTGGCTCAGTGGTTGAGTGTCCACCCATGCACCAAGAGGTTGCTGGTTCAATTTCCAGTCAGGGCACATGCCCAGGTTATGGTCCTCATCCTCTCATCCCCAGTGGGGGGCATACAGGAAGCATCCAATCGATGTTCTCTCATTGATGGTTCTATTTCTCTCTCCCTCTCCCTTTCCCTTCCTCTAATATCAATAAAAAAAAAAAAAAAAAAGCCCTGGCCGCTTTTGCTCAGTGGTTAGAGTGTCGGCCTGTAGACCAGAGAGTCCCAGGTTCAGTTCCTGCTAGGGGCATGTACCTCAATTGTGGTTAGTCCCTGGCCACGGCTGGGGTTGTGTGGGTGGCAGCCAATTGATGTGTCTCTCTCGCATCAATGTTTCTCTCTCTCTCTTCCTCCCTCTCTCCCTCCCACTGTATCTGAAGATAAATGCAAAAATGTCCTCAGGTGAGGATTAAAAAAAAAATTATACACCAAGACAAAGGATGCAAGGCTGGTACAATATTCACAAATCAATAAATATGATACACCACATAAACAAAACGAAAGATAAAAATCATATGATCATATCGATAGATGCAAAAAAAAAACAAAAAACATTTGACAAAATCCAGCACCCATTTTTGATAAAAACTCTCAGCAACATTGGAATAGAGGGATCATTCCTCAACATAATAAAGGCTATATATGAAAAACCTACAGCCAACATCACATTCAATGGGCAAAAACTAAAAGCATTTTCCTTAAGAACAAGAACAAGACAGGGATGTCCACCTTTGCCACTCTTATTCAACATAATACTAGAAGTCTTAACCACAGTTATCAGAAAAGAAGAAAAAATAAAAGGCATCCAAATTGGAAAGGAGGAAGTGAAACTCATTATTTGCAGATGACATGATATTGTACATAGAAAACTCTAAAGACTCCATAGAAAACATACTAGATTTAATAAATAAATTTGCCAAAGTAGCAGGACACAAAATTAACATCCAGAAATCAATGGCATCCTTATACACCAATAAATAATGGACACTCAGAAAGGGAAACAAACAGCCCTGGCCGGTTTGGCTCAGCGGTTAGAGCGTCGACCTGCGGTCCTGAGAGACCCGGGTTCGGTTCCCGCTAAGGGCACGTACCTCCGTTGCAGTTTGTCCCCGGCCCTGGTTGGTCGTGCGGGTGGCAGCCACTCGATGTGTTCCTTTCACGTCGATGTTTCTCTCTCTCTCTCTCTCTGTTCCTCTCTCTCCCTCCCACTCTACCTGAACAAAAAAATGGGAAAATGTCCTCGGGTGAGGATAAAATAAAAAAAAATAAAATAAAAAAAAAGGGAAACAAACAAACAAACAAAAAAAACAATGCCATTTACCATTGCAACAAAAAAAAAAATTAAGATACCTGAAAATAAACTTAACCAAGGAGGTTAAAAGATCTGTTCTTGCCCTGGCCGGTTTGGCTCAGCGGTTGGAGTGTTGGCCTGTGGACCAGAGAGTCCCAGGTTTGGTTTCCACTAGGGGCACGTACCAAAAAAAAAATAATAATAATAAATAAATAAAGATCTGTTCTCAGAAAACTAAAGGACATTGAAAAAAGAAACAAAGAAAAATATTAAAAAGTGGAAACATATACTATGTTCATGGATTGGAAGAATCAACATCATTAAAAGGGCCATACTACCCAAAGCAATCTATAGATTCAATGCAATCTCTATTAAAGTACCAATGGCATATTTCACAGATCTAGAACAAATAGCCACAACAATTTTGAAAAAATAAAATTGGAGTGATCACAATACCAGGTATCAGGTTATACTACAAAGCCACTGTAATAAAAACAGCCTGGTACTGGCACAAGAACAGGCATATAGATCAATGGAACAAAACAGAGAACCCAGAAATTGACCCAAGACATTATACTCAATATTTGACAAAGGTGGCAAGAGCATACAATGGAGTAAAGACAATATTTTTAATAAATAGTGTTGGAAAAATTGGACAGCTACATTAAAAAAAATGAAATTAGACCACCAACTTACACCATACACAAGAATAAACTCAAAATGGATAAAAGACTTAAATGTAACCCGTGAAACCTAATCCTAGAAGGTAGGCAACAAAATCTCAGACAACACACGTAGCAGAATTTTCACCAATACATCACCTAGGGCAACAGAAACAAAGGAATAAAAATTAATACATTTTTATTAATTTTCAAACAAAAACTTCTGCATGGCAAAAGAAACCAGCATCAAAATGAAAATGGAACCCACTCTTTGGGAGAACATATTTGCCAAAGATACATTGGATAGGGGTTAATATCCAAAATATATAGAGTACTCATACAACTCAACAAAAGGATAACCCAATGAAAAAATGGGCAGAGGAGCTGAACAGACACTTCTCCAAACAGGACATACAAATGGCCAAGAGACATGAAAAAATGCTCAAAGTCACTAATCATCAGAGAGATGCAAATTAAAACAACTATGAGGTTATCACCTCACCTGCCAGAATGGCTGCCATCAACAAATCCTCAAACAAGTGCTGGTGAGGGTGTGCAGAATAGGGGACTCTAGTGCACTATTGGTGAGAATGCAGACTGGTGCAGCCACTATGGTGTTACCTCAAAAAATTAAAAATGGAACTGCCATTTGACCCAGTGATCCCACCTCTAGGAATATACCTTAAGAAGCCTGAAACACCAATCAGGAAGAATATATGTACCCCCATGTTCATAGCAGCACTATTTACAATAGCTAAGATCTGGAAACAGCCCAAGTGTCCATCAGTAGATGAATGGATAAAAAAGCTGTGGTACATATACACAATGGAGTACTACGCAGCTGTAAGAGAGAGAGATCTCTTATCCTTTGCGATTACATGAGGGGACCCAGACAGTATTATGCTGAGTGAAATAAGCCAGAGAAAGACGAGTACATGATCTCACCCATTTGTGGAATATAATGAATAAAATAAGCTGATAATCAAAAAATCCAGTGACGAAAGAAAAAAAAAAATCCAGTGACATGGACGTAGGGAACAGACTGACAAACTTCAGAGGGAAGGGGGAGGGGAGTGGGGTGGAAAGAGATAAACTAAAGAATTTATTTGCATATATGCACAACCAATGGACACAGACAATAATATGGAAAAGGCAGGAGGGGGGTGGGAGTGTGGAGGAGGGGGTCAATGGGGGGAAAAAGGGGGGAACATCTGTAATATTCTCAAAAATAACGATAAAAAATGTATTATGCTAAGTGAAATGAGTCAAACATAGAAGGAAAAATATTATGTGATTCCACTTATGTGAACAGGAAAATTCATAGACAGAAAGTAGAATAGAGGTTACCAAGGCCTGGAGGAGAAGAGAGAATGGGAATTATTGGTAATGGACAGTTTCAGTTTGAGAAGATAAAAAGGTTTTAGGGTGGGAGTGGAGGGATTAAACAAAAAACAAACGAAAAAACAACTCATGGACAGGGACAATGGTGTGGTGACTGCTGTGGGAGGGGCTGGGGGAGGAACAGGGGGTAAATGGTGATGGATGGAGACTTGACTTGGGGTGGGGAACACACAATAAAGTGTACAGATGATGTGTTGTAGTTGTGTACCTGAAACCTGTATAGTTTTGTTAACCAGTGTCACCCCAATAAATTCAATAAAAAGGAAGAAAAAGGTTTTGGGAATAGATTGTGGTGATGGTTACAATCCAATGTCACTGGGTTATAGATTCATTAACTTATGGTTAAATTGATAAATATTATGTTGTATATATTTTATTATAATAAAATATATTAAAAATAAAAACCCAAACCCACAAACATGACCGGTGTGTGAAAGAAAGGCCAACAAGCCCTGGCCGGTTTGGCACAGTGGTTAGAGCGTCGCAGGTTCGATTCTGGTCAAGGGCACGTACCTCGGCTGTGATTCATCCCCAGCCCTGGCTGGGGCCGTGCGGGAGGCAACCACTTGTGTCCCTCTCACGTCGATGTTTTTCTCTCTCCACACGTTTGCTTGAGGGCACTTTCCCTCACCGCCTTGCAGCAGTTGGTTTCTTGCGATTCTGTCCGTAGGTTAGTCTTTCCCCTTAGAGGGCCCTGGCCAGTATTCCTGACCACTGACTTCCTTTTTGTGGGACTGTCAATAAATTGGAATCTCATTTTACAGCAAAATAACAGACGCCAAACATGTAAAGTCGTGAGTTTATTGCATATGTAACAAAATGAACCTGACCTCCCGGGTCCAGCCTCTGTACAGTCGCTGTTTGTTTTGTGTTTCCAGCTGGTTCCATAACCACATTAAATAGAACTAGTATTTCTTTAAATACTTTTGATTCTGACATAAAACAACATTAGTGTACAACTTTCACAAAATAAATCAGCAATAAAAACAGTGGGAAGAATAACAAGGATAGCAGCAATACTTAAAAACAAGACATTACAAAATAAATTAAAAAATACATTATAAAGTGGTTGAGAAACAAAAATAAACAAATTTTAAAAATTCATACTATGTTCCGGGAAGGCTGCCGTGCAGCACTCGCCTGACTGCAGATGGGGTGGGGCGGGCGTGTTCTCTGCACGCGGCTCCTCCCACAACTCTGGTTTGAGGACCCCCTGGCTTGAACACAGACCGTTTGGCTGAGCAGGCCCAAGGGCACAACTCCACCAGCCGGGCGGATTCTCCCTTCAGAAGTCAAGAGAGCCCGAGTAACGGTCCCCACATGCAGCCCCTTTGCCTTTCCTCCCTAAAGCGCTGGCAGAGCGGTGGTTTGCTACATCCCTGAGGGTCGGCTGCTGACCGCTGGTGAGGGCAAGCCTGAAGGTCGGGGCCCTGAAGCATCTGGGCAGAGGCTTGAGGACAGGGTTGTCATCTGGGATCACTGAGAAGGGGAACAAAAGAGTGTGCGTGTGTGGCTGGGGTTCTTGCAGACCCAGAGTGTAGTCACTGGGAGCTTTGACCAATTGCTTGCTACATTAATCTTTGGGGTGGTTCACAAGGCCCGAACAACTGTCATGTTTAAGGTTCTAGAAGTGCAACGCCACTGACAGATTGGCCTGCTTGGCAAGAACAAACGCGCTCTGAGTTCTGCTCTTTCAGGCTGCTTGGTGACACTCGCAGCTGATGAGGGTGTCACGACCCAGTGTTAAATGAAAAAGCAGAGACCCAGACCTTATGAAAGGGTAACTCATGTGTCCCAAGCAGCTCCCGGAGGAGCCAGGACATGGCTCTGGATCTCGCTGAGGTGACACCTGACACGAGAGCAGCACAGGGCTGGCAGGTGCAGACTCGAAGGGTCACTCCAGGCTCCTCACAGCAGAAAAGTGGTTTATAAAGGCGTCAAATACAACATCCCTGCTTCCAAGTCTTTTCAACCACTAGGCCCTCCTTTCCTCCCTAAGCAGTGCAGATTTTGGCCACCACATGACAGACTGCGCGTGCGTGTGTCTTGTGTCACCCTACTTCAGTTCTGATGTCCTCTCCTCCTCCTGAGGTGCAGGTGCACGTGGAGAGGAGGTCTACCTGGTGGGAGATCAGTATTTTTCATTTCCTCTTTCTTCCAGAATATTATGAGAGATGACTGGATGGAATCATTGGGGAGCTTCTAGAATGCCCTCAGAAAGCATGATGAGACACAGGATAAACCGCACTGGGACAAAACAGAACTCTTGAACACGAAGCCCACAGTTTGGCCGGGACTTTGTGACTGGACTGTTACCCTTCTGCAGCAAATCACACGTGACATCCCTTCTGTCTGAGCCCCAGTACGTAGCCAAGTGGCGAGGCTCTCTCGAGGTTCCGGGAATCCACAGCTGGTGGTTGTGCCCACAAACTGGACAAACTTCTGTTAAGGGGGAGGGTCCCTCTCCTAAGAGGTCTGAGTGCCCCTGCCTCTGACTGCCTCTGGGCATGGAAAGGAGACGCAGCAGGAAGCAGAAGTGTGCAGGCCTCCACCCTAGTCTACAGGCATCAGTGACAAACAGCAGCAAAACAGCTGGCCACAAGCTCCTTCCAAACCCATCTCAGACCCACAGCTGGATCCCAGTGACTAACTCAGAAGCTTCAACAGCCAATTTTAACAGTGAAATGTCTCGCTAAAGAATGACCCTGCACTTGCCTCTAAACAAAAACAACAAAAAACGAGACTAGAAAATCTGTTGCTGCCGCCATTTTTCACTGAAGTTCAGCTACCTGGAATCAAGCCACTTGTTAAAATACTGTTCAAACTTTTGTGCAAATTGGAAAATGGTGTGAGCATCTGAAAGCCTCGGCTTGCTTTGACCTGCCTCATCCTATGAAGACAGCAGGGCAAGTAAATCAAGCAGCACTTGTCAATGTCACCATCTGACGGGGAAATGGGCCAATGGGTCAGGGTGGAATTGTCCCTCCGCTGTCAGGTTTACAGCCACACCCTGCTTTTGTAAAATAGTAACTTGGGGTGGAGTTCAGTCACTGAGGTTTTCCATTCCCCCCTCTTCCTTTTAAGCTAGTTTGCACTAAACCAGCAGCTATAATAACAGAATTCTGTTTTATTAGTTTAGCTGTTAGCAATTTCCACATAATAGTTTGTTAGTATTTGAGTGACTCAGCTGACACTGTTCTGCAAACAGGTGGTGCAGGAGCCAGAGCTGGGGGCTCCATTAAGGGGTATTTTCACTGGAAAAATATTTCAAACTGGACAGATACTGTGGCAAAAGGAACTCTTCAACGGAAAGACCACATTTCTCTATGCAAAACAAAATTTCAACCAAGACGCCCTGAAAAGAAACGCCCTGGGCCTCCAGCTGCCCTCGTCCCTTCTCCTTTCCAAAGGGCTGCGCGCTTTGTCCCTAAGCTTCCTGCTGTGGCAGAATTCCAGCAAGCACGCATCATACAGTAACTGTTAAGGGAGAAATCAATCGTGACCCAGAGCAGGCTGCGAGGATGTGAAATTTGGAATTTGAGCTGCTGACCTGGAAAAGGCGCCTACAGACTGTTTTCGACAGAATAGGTAGTGTAGCCACCAGTCACAAACCCACAGTGAGCAAGCTCAGCCCATGACTGCAGGGTGATCCACAGGGCAGTGAGCCTGGCACCATGTGTTACAACTGGAGCAGAATATCCTGTGTGACCGAAGCCAATCTAAACCTGGCTGCATTTTATTGGATGGGTGATGGAAGGGGTGGGAGTACTGTCAAAAAGGAGGAAAAGAGCCACCAACCAAAGTCCCCCGCCCTCCTTACTCCCCCAGCACAAAGGAGGGGAGACACCCTTTCCCTCAGGGTATCTAGAATCCCAGGGCCTCAGCCTGCTTCGCAGGACTCGTGCAGAAAGCGATAGGCTTTTGGTTTGGTGGTCGTGAGCTAGAATCTGTTGCCTTTGGTTGCTCTTCACTCCACAGCAAACCCACAGGTCTCCTCCACCGCTATCAGCAGCTTCTCATAGAGCTTTTCATAAGACTCATACGGTGGAATGTCAATCCGGTTAAAGCTGGAATAGAACAAAAGAGAGAGAGTCAGTGCTGGGCCCAGTGTGGTCCTAGGACCTGCCTCCAGGAAGAAGACAGGCAGGAGCAGAGCACTTGGGCCGTGCGGCCGTGCGTGGGCGCGTGTGTGCACCGTAGCAGGTACGGGTGACCAGACGGGGAGAGCCTCTCATCCCTAGTTCTGGGAGTGGGGGGGACAGGTGAGTGGACACTTCCCCTTTGTACTTTTCTGTTTCTAATGTAAAGGTTTTAAAATCAACACACAGCAAAATAAATCTTAGATCTTTAAAACTAAAATAAAACCAATTTACTCTTCATGGGGCTACTAGGACAAAGCTCTCAACTTATTGTTTGCTATTTATCTTTGGGAGAAATGACGCAGTACCAGGAATACTATCTTTGCAGAGCATAATCCAGACAGGCTGCAGTCAAGTAAGTCCCACTAGCAATTTGCTGCATGTCTGTCTGTTCCTCTGTGACTTGATCTGAGACCAAAATGGGGCAGTCCGGAAAATTCCCTGAAAAACTAATAAAATGTCAAATCTCTGATAGATAAAATGGAACTTACATTTCTGACACAATATTTCCATAAGAAAATTCATTTCCAATGTTTGTGCAAAAATAAAAAACAAAAAAGAGGCCTTCTAAGAAACTATAACAAATTAAAAATTACAAAATTGTGAACCAGAGGACACTGAGTGGCCTATTGAATTACTAAGGGATATGCAACTAAGGATGGTTTTTGTTAAGAGTCAGGTGAAGTGGTGCTGTAGCCTTTTCCCGGGAGTTTTAGCACCAGAGATTTTTTACACCATTTTACTCTGAGCACTGAACTGTTGAAACACAGAGCATCCCAGGGAGGGGCGCAGCCTCCTCGCGTGCACATGGCGCCATTGCTGCAACTCCCCGCTGGGGCTCTGCGTCCTGTCCTGGGCACAGCCACAGGCTCACAGCCGTCCGCACATGTGGGAGTCCCCGTCAGCATATCAAGTGACCTGCCCAAAGTCACACAGTAATTGTCAAGCCAGATCTGAACCCACATCCTCCAGTTCCCAGTCAGGAACCTTCCAGTACATAACGATACGTCGACAACACGTGGGACTGGTTCTCCTGACCTAGAGGTGACTGTAGTTTTTATTTTAACGGTAAAGGAAACAGCGCACCACAAATACTATTTAAGCCAAGGACGTATCTTCTAATAGGTGCATCTGTCGCAGGCAGAGCTCTGAGAGGGGGAAACAGGGCCCCAGGAATGTCAGATAAAGGGAAGACCAGTAACTCCAACTTAAAGACTGTAATTCTCTCTACTGACAGGTACACACGTGCACACATACACACACACATGCAGCAAGACCCAGGGAAGTATAGACAGGAGCCTGTCGGAATGGTCGCCAACATCAATCATATCTTATGACAAAATGGGTTCATGGAAGGACTTCTGATGACCCTTGGATGTGACAGGCTGCCAATGCTTGTCCCATCCGACACTGGTGCCACTGCCAGCTGTACCTGGGACTCTGCGTAAGTGAAACGTTGGGTGCTCCACATGAGAAACAGGGTGAAAGTCATGTGGACGAGCGCACACTGAGGACACAGGCTCCCGGGACGGTGACTGCACAGCGCTTGTCCTTACCAGGTGTGGGCCTTCGGAAGGTTGTCTGTGTTTGCGTCGATCAGGTGGATGGTGAACAGCCGGGGCCCTGCGGCGCCTGTGGAACCTTACAGGACAATATTCTAGTTACTGCGCTTCAGGGGCTGAGCCCGGACCCCACTGCCGACGGCCACGTCAGCCCCACGCCCAGACGGTGTCCTGCCCAAAGGTCACGTAGTTCCCGCGGCAACTGCCTGGCCGTCAGGTGACTGACATCAGAGGTTTAGAAAATCATAGGTGTGGAGCAAAGACCGGTGAGAACCCTCCTATGTTCCAGTGGGAAGGGTAAAATCCTAAATCACCAGGGATTTTTTAAAAACAGAAATGTTAGCAAGCAGTCTCTGTGGGCAGAGGACAGCAGCGACGTGAGGAAAGTGGAGTACGCAGTCACGAGCCCTCTCTAGCAGAGGTGTGACGGAAAAGGAAAAGACAACCACCTTAGGATCAAAGCTCAAGGGAATGGAAGTAACTTCTCTCACAGAGAAGCCCTTAAAATAAGGAAAAGTCTACAGAGAATGTTTTATATATGAAATATATCTGCTGTCACTATTAATATGCAAAGTTCAATTTACTAAATTTTAATATATTCTTTACCTTACCTCTTCTGGCTAGCAGGGTTATCAAATGACAAAAATCTAACATTTTACAAATCACAGGGCCAGGGAGAAGCCTGTGAGGACTTTCCCCATTGGTCGTGGCTGACCACGAACCCTTCCAATCTCCTCATAAGGCATGAACTCTTCAGTGTCTACAGCCTTTCAACCCCCTAGCCCATGGCCACCCTAGACCTGGGTGAATCAGACCCAGTGAAAGAGAGCACGGGCACCTCACTGGACACTGGAGCTTGTCCGGCAGCCCACTTGTAAAGATCAGGACACTGAGGACCAGGAAGGACCTTGGAGTTAATGACCCACATGGTAGCAATAGACTCGGTCTGCTGATACTTAGGTCAGGCCTCTCTCTCCTCTTTCTCCAAGTAAGTCCATAGTACACTTTAAAAACACTGATTTTGCCCTGGACAGTGTTTCTCAGTGGTTAGAGTGTTGGCCTGTGCACCAAAGGGTAGTAGGTTCAATTTCCAGTCAGGGCACATACCTGGGTTGCAGGTTAGATCCCCAGCCCTGGTCAGGATGCAACCAACTGATGTGTCTCTCTCACATTGGTGTTTCTCTTTCTCCCTCACCCTCTCCCTTCCTCCCTCCTACCCTCTCTAAAATCAATAGAAAAAATATTCTTAGGTAATGATTAACAAAAAACAAATAAACAAAAAACACCTCTGATTTCTTTCCCCAAAACTATTGTTCTCTGTACCTTCCCTTTGTCAACTGATTCTGTAGGGGCAGGGGCAGCACCAGGCTGCTCTGGGCCCGCCCTTGCTCAGGTCTTTGCCAGCTCAGCCCTGAGCAGGCACTGACCACAAAGACTTGGGCCAACCCGGCGACGCCCACGTGCTGAGTCACTGGCTTGTAGAGACACAGGGAAGTGGGTGAGAGGAAGTTGGGCTTTGTTTACTGATAGCCTCTCCTACATCTGTACAGGTATTTTCTTTCAGCTTAGGAAAGGAGAGCAGAGCCTTGGGGACTGGGAGCTGGCCGAGATAATGGCAACCAAGAGACTATCATCGCTTATGTCTGTATGGCCCAGAAGTGAGTGCCCCTCCGCTAGGTGAACTCCACCATTACTGCTGGCCATTTGTTAGAAAGCACGTAGGTCACATCACTTTCCAGTAGACGTTCCAGGAAGCCAACCCCACCACACTCCAGCTCTTCCTACATGTCCAATGTCAACACATCCAGCCCCGCCTCCATGCCAGTCACCTTGCAAAGCCTTGAAGCCTTGGAGCGGGACGCGAGTGGATCCCGTCACAAACTGCAGGAGCCTGGCTCTCCTCTCCTCGTCGAAGGTCTCCACCGCCTGCCAGAACCACCGGACGACATTGCTGTCAGCCACACAGTGCTTCAGCCGAGTGTTGGACTTCCAGTCGTTCAGGTCGATTTTGTCCAGGCCGCCTATTATTAACTGTGAAGAGGTTAGGGGCCAGTTATTTCTAAAAGGTATAATCAACGTCATGACATGCCCCCCATGTTCCCAGTATAGAAAAGGAGTTAAAAACATGGTTCCCAGAGCAAAGAAGCAGTTATATCCAAATAAACTAGACACATAGTTAGATAAGAATAAAGATAAACCAACAGTACGCCTGGAGCACCGTGCCCGTGCCTTTCCGCACGTCCGGCTACTGCCAGGACGTCTCCTTGCAGCCCAGGTGAGCATGCGGTTTGCACTGACAGGTGAGCAGTGACGTGGGAGAGCCGCCGGCAACGCTGCACAGAGCTGAGTGCAAAATGGGCCCCGTCACAGGCACCCTGCAGGACAATGATATGAGGAGTTTCAAGTCTGAAGAGAAGGGACTAAAGCAAGGGTCATGTGTGGTTTCTGCAGTTTGCTTACAAATCCCTTCCAGAGCTGCCCCGCTGATGGACACGCTCTCGGCTCACGAGCCCTTGCGTCTCACTGATGACAGACACTGAGGATAATTTTAAAGGCTTGAGCTATTTGGCACCAAACAGAGATGGATAAGAGACGAATGCTTTGCTGTATCCAAGTACATAAAGTATGATTAGAGAAGACAGTAAATTATGTTCTGAATCTAATAATAGCAAATAAAAATAGGAAGTTGACATTGTGGGAGAAGTTGGCTATAAATGAGATAATTTCCTCGGTCTGTGGTGTCTGCTCAGGAGGGAGTGAGGGACTCTCCACTGCTACAGATCCTGAAAACATAATAAACCTCAAAACACCTTGACCAAGGTCCCCAGAATGGTCCAGATTCACTGCCACCAAGTTGACACCTGGCCTTGTCATAATGGCTCAGACGTCCTCTACTCCTCTCTCACTCTGGCCCTGTTGCCCTCTGGGAGCCCCGACAGCTCCTGGGCCTGCTGGGAGTTAGTTGCCAGCCCGGCTCGGCAGCCAGGGTGTAAACCACAGACACTGATTGCATTTGAGCCCTTTAACCCTGACTGACTCAGCAAGTGAAGCGCATACCTCTAGTTCCTTCTGGTCAAAAGGCTTCAATAAGTGTTGAGGAATGAGTTCGTTAAACCCTTTCTGAAGAGCTAAGAACTGGGCTTCGATTCCTCTCATAAATCTCCAATTTACATATAACCTGGAAGAAAAATTCACAAGTTAGAAGCAATACCAATGGTTCATGAAAAAACATTTTCCCCAGTTAGTAGGTTCTCACATCTGCTGAATCTAATGCCTTGCTTGCCCAGCCTCCTGAAACCCACCAGACAGTAGCACCTAACCTAAGTTACAGGTTAAAATAAACCACACAGCCCTAATATATTCTGATTCATTGCTAGAAATAGCAGTAGGATTTAATCTGATCTATTCCAGCAACTGCCACAATGTAAAAGTACATTTGAAAATAAAGTACAGGACATGCGAGAACTACACACGAGTTGGACAGACTGAGATGTCACACTGAGATGCCGTGTTTCTACACTGCCACTGTAGGTGACCAGTTATTTATTTGCCTTGATTAAGAGGTAGGAGAACAGACTACACTAGAGGAGACTTCTTGGAGACTGATCTCAGGGACAGCTGGGCTTCCTCCTCTCTCTTGTGCTCTGGTGCCTCCCCACACAGACCTGGGCAGTCGCCTGAAGTCCTTCCCCTACTGGGCTTTGGGGTCATTATTCTCCCTTCACCAGGTCAGCCCTGGTCACATCAGGACTCCCCCACACAGAGCTCCTACTGCTGAACCCAGCGTTTTGGGAAGTCTCTTCTATAACGCGATGCTGATCACAGTGCTAGAAGGGACTGGTAAACCTCACACAGCAAGGAGCCTCCACAAGCCAGACGTGAATCTAGCCAGGCCCACGACAGTCCCTGGCATCGGGGTGTCCCCACCTATGACCACCAAGTTTCCTCAGAACATTACCGAACATATTCTTTCTTGTTATCCTCTGTAACAGGAACATTTCTGCCATTCGGTTTCAGTTCATGCTGAAGAATCCTCCCAAAAGCATTGTGCTCCACACAGAAAGTATGGTCCAGCACAGGGGTGATATCATTCTCTCTGTCAAAGTCAGGACAGAGACGGATGTCAGTTAGAACTTTGCTACCACGCAGCAGTGAATAAACATTAAATGGAACAATCTGGTAGAGAGAGAACACGTTTACTAAGTGCCAGACCCAGAGGGGAGCACCCAGGCGAGGGCTAGAAGGCGTGGGCACTAGAAGGACCCAGGAGACCACAGCTCCAGTTCCAGATATGTCCTTGACTTTCGGTTTTCTCATTTATAGGGGGTGACAGTACTTCTATCAGCCTATGATTTTATGAGATACCTGGTTGCTTTGTAAACTGAGTCTATGAGCAGGAAGAAGGGAGTCATAAAGAGGTAACTGTAACTGAGTCAAAGGGAAATCCACCTGCAGGAAGCCACACCAAGAAAACACCATTCCTCCTTTTTAAGTTCATCAGTTCGAAGCAGCACTAGAAAGTTAAAACGGGCTCCTTAATCTGCCATATTTCTTGAAACGAAGGGAAAGATTTCCTACAGGATGAAGCCCTAATCCCTGCAGACTATTCATTTCAAGTTGGGACGTGTAAATGAGGCCAACTAGACTCAGGGTACAATTGAGAGGCCTGACTCCCATCAAACCATGAGCTTGTCCTCCCCTTGCTGAGCCTGGGCCTGTCTGGTATTCCTGTGAAGCTGGCTTGGAGGACACCTATGGTTCACCATCTAACTGTGCCTGTTGCTTTTAAGAGAGTGTTTAGGGTAATTCTAAAACAAGGCGACTAAATGTTAATTTTGTTTGGATACTTTATCAAAGTATTTGATACAGGACATCTGTAATACTTTCAACAATAAAGATACATTTTTAAAACGTATTTGACACACGATACTTTGATACTAATTTTGTCTTTGATACTTTCCCTCTAGAGATTAACTGGTGACAATTTAGAGTGTCAAAAACCAACCATCCTGGGTAGCTCAGCTGGTTGGAATGTCATCCCAATAGGCCAAGGTTGCAGGTTCAATCCCCAGTCAGGGCACATACAAAAATCAACCAATGAATGCATAAATAAGTGGAACAACAATCAATGTTTCTCTCTCTCCCTCTCTCTCTCTAAAAGCATTCAATAAACAATAAAAACCCCAAACCAACCAACCACCAGGCCTAGGGATTAACATTTGTTATCATATGTTAATAATTCAGGGGAATAACAAAAGAAACTAGTCCACAAAGAGAAACTGGCTAAAGATCATGAGGAAAACAAGCCAATTAAGTGTTTTATGTTAAATCTACTTCTAAATTTCTTTTCTTTCTTTCTTTTTTAAATCCTCGCCGGAGGACATGCTTAGAAAGAAGGGGAGAGAGAGAGAGAGAGAGAAACATCAAATGTCAATGTGAGAGAGAAATCGATTGGCTGCCTTCCATAGGCTCCCTGACCGTGAATCAGACCAACAACCTTTTGTGCACAGGATGAAGCTCAAACAGTTAAGCCACTCCGACAGATAACTTTTATATATCTCATAAAACAATAGTTTCTTTATTTCTCTTCTCCAATTTCACACCCGTCTCCAACACACACTCACACACACACACACACACACACACACACACAAAACAAATGTGTTTGGTGTACATTAAGACAGGTGGGTGTATATGAATATTCAATTAACTAAGCAGTGAGTTAATACTTACAGAATCCACACTAAGCTCTTATGTAGTTCTGGGTCCACCGATTCCAAATCAGAGAGCTGGATGGGTTTCCCCAATAGCTGCTTATAGAAGGGAACTGTGAAACCCCCATTTATGTAGTGTCCATGGAACACAGCCAGACCCATGATCCGACCCACAAAATGGAAATAAGACAAATGGTCCTGTAGGGGGCACCAGAGAACATAAATTGGTTTAAAAAACAGTCAAGGTGATAATCTTTTGATTTCTCCAGCTTCTTAGGAGAACTGTTTCATAGGCAACCAGCACTACGTCAGTTAAAGGTTGTGCTCATGACCAAATAAAAGGCTGCTTAGTAAGTAAAAACCGAGAGCATCTGAACATTTTATTTGCCCTTAGTTCAAACACATTTTCCTCAGAATTGCTACATAATTTGTGGGACCCAGTGCAGGATGAAAATGCAGAACCCCTTATTAAAAAGTATTAAGACCTCCAACATGGCAACAGCACAGATGCAAGCCAAGCATGGGTCCTTCTGTGAGCAGGACCCTGTGCACTGTATAGGTCAGGAGCCACACTTCTCCTTTCCATTGAACTAAAGAAATAAAGAGCAAAGGGCAACTCCTCTTCTTCCTCTGCCACCCCTCCCCCAGTCCCACAAGAAAGAAGAAAAGAAATCCAAGGGGGAAAAACGAAAAGGAACATAGAGCAAAATAAGTATGAACAACCCAAGTAAAAGAACCATTTTCAAACAGAGCTGTCTGGTTTTTAACTAAAAAGGAAACCCCACGTTTCTGCTTTCAGATTGGAATTTCGACAAGATAATTGGGTCAAAACTTAGTTTCCATGTTAGTAAAGGTTCAGTCACATCTGACCACCTGCAGAATGGAGCAGGTCCATGACTTTGCATCAGGGGCCGTGACTGCAGAACACAGCCTCGCAGAGTCCGACCTTGGTTGGTCCCTCACTCTTCTCTAAAATAAGCATACTAGTGGCTAAAAAGGCCAATTATAGAATATTCCAATTTTGGCTGGGAGGAGGACAGACTTCGTAACCACTTCTCAGAATGATACCGTCCATCCGTGTGGTCATCGTACCAGTTTCCTCAAATGGCAATAAAGTCTGAGCATGTGAGCAGCTCGATGTCCCTCTTGCTGCCCCCTCCCCGAAAACAGCATACCCAATGATCCCAGTCACTAGAAATATAGGATTGAAACCATCCATCTTACTCCAACTCTTACTCTTTCAATGCTTTATCAGACCTTGAGTAAGTCTACAGTGAAAACCCAAAATTGAGATGAAAACTGAAAATCCATTAAAAAAAATTCCCCACTTATTTACTCATTAATACTTACAGGGTTGATGGACGAATCTGGGTTGATTTGCAACATGTAAATATTGTCCGTAGAATATTGAAAGAGTCCATAATATGGATTCAGCATTTCATGACACAATAAATAAAGCCACTCCCTGGGAACAACAGCAACAACAGTTAAAACCAGAACATTTTCTATGTGCTAAGATTTCTAGTTTTAGATCATAGCAAAAGGACTGAATCACTAGAGGCCAAAACTGGTACACATATCTGACTGTGAGAAGGTGATTTGTACAGATTGGAAAAATAAGCCCGAAGAAGTAGAAGTTGCTCCGGTAGCATCTAAATTGTGAAGATGAGAGGCTCTCCTCCCTCCTGACTCCGCAAGACAGGGCCAATGTTACATGTCCTCACAGAACATGGGCTCTCCTCTGTAGCGTCTACCTGACTTGAGGTTTTATATTTACTTGTGTACTTTGACTAGTGTGTGTGCCTCATCATACTGAGAACTCCTTTGCACAGGGAGTGCAGGAGGTGAAGGGGGCAGAGAACATGTTACTGTGCTCACAGTTGTATCCTAGTACCTAGAACATGGTAGAGGCTCCATATTTAACAATTAATGAACATATACAATTATTACAGGTTATACAAAGTATAGGGGGATTCTCCTTTAAGAAGATTTAATCACATAATAGATACATTATTTAATTCTATCACTTTATATTTTATCATAATGGAATTCAATGAATAAGTATGCTATGGTGATTTTGAAAACAAGATAAGAAAATGTTGAAGTACTGGAAGAAAAGTTGAGGAACTCTCTCAGAGGTAGGGGAGAAAAGCAAAGATGGAAAATAAAAGACAAAAGATGACAGACATAAAGGATCAATCTAGGGAATCCCAAAATTGGGTCACAGGTGTTTCAGAAAGACCAAAGCAAGGAAATGGTGGTGGTGGGGATTATCAAATAGTAAAATTTATTCATTTGGCAGATATTTATGGAGATGAGCACTTTCCCTGTGTCAGGCACTCTTCTCGGAACTGGGGATTCAGCCCTGAGCAAGGCCACGTTCCCGAGCACAGGCAGTGTGTCTGCTGGAGACGCAGACGGGAGGGAGAACGCTCACACAGCACAACATGCCTGGTGGTTCCGAGGGCCTGGTGGGGAAGGCCTCTGAGGGGTGACCTGAGTGAGCTGATGGAACAAGCTGTGTCATCTTGGGGATGAGTTCCAGGCAGAGGAAACACCGAAGGTGACGGCCCCAGGCCTTGACACACACACCTCTTGTGTACCAGGGACGGCAAGAGTGGGCGCTAAGGGAGAGGAACAGTGAGGCTGCGGGCAAAGCAGTGTGGGCTGGGCTGACAGGGCTCAGGGTGAGAACCTAAGGGTCAGTCAGGTGGGATGGGAAGCCTTTGGGGGGCTCAGAAACAGAGGAGAGTGGTTAGAAAGATCGTACTGACTGCAGCGGTATAAATGGCCAGCTGAGATAAGTGAGACAAGAGTGAAGCCACTAAGCAGCCAAGAGCCAGCCCGGGGGGTGGAGTGGGGGAGGCTGAGACAGGAGGGAGGTGGTGGTGAGGGAGATGCAGGGGGCGAGACTCTCTTCTGAGGGACCAGGACGGATTGGTGCTGGGAGGTGAGTGAAGTCCTTGGAGAGTTAAGGATGACTCCACAATCTGAGCCAGAGGAACTGAGTGGGGAACCAGAGGTGGGAAAGACCAGCGAGGAGCTGTATGAGAGAAAGTCTGAAATTTTGGACTGTTAAGTCTAAGATGCTTTAAAAATATTCAAGGAGAGACAAGAGGTAGTTGGGTAAACAAGTGTGAGGCTGAGGGGAGCAAAGTGAGCAGAAGGGATAGATCTGAGCATCATCACCTTGTAGACAGTAGGGTTCACAGGGGGGCACTCACTGCAGGACTAAGCTGGGAGACACGCCAATGTTCAGAGGTGAGGAAGAGAAGGAAGCGACAGGAAGGGGACTGGAGTGAGCCAGAGGGAAAATCAGGAGGGTGATGTCCAGGAAGTGAGGACTGTGGACAGACTAGGTGAGATAGAGACTGAGGTGGCCATCAGTGGGCTTGGTGGGAGGTAGCTCACAGTCAACTTGACACAAAGGGCTTCAAAGGGTAGAAAGATCCATGTGGAAAAGATTCAAGAGAAAGCAAGGAACGTGGAAGCAGAGATGGGAATACCATACCACTCTTTTAGGGGTTTTGTTATAAAGAGAACAGAACAACAGGGCTGTAATTGGGAGTTAAGCATTCTTGAACACACTTTTGTTTGTCCTGGAATTTCTAATTGCTTTTCTTTTTACTTTGCTTTGTCCTTACTGACTCCTTAAAGCTTAGACAGGAAGGAAGGGAACATAGTGTCCAGGGAAGGTTTTGGGGCATGTTTTTTTCTTTTAAGAAGGGAGTTGTAGCACATATGTATGTGGATGAGATCGAGCCAACAGAAAAGGACATTTTGAAGAAATGAGATGTGTAATAACAGTGGAAGCAAAGGGCCTGGGATCCATTGTGCTGGGGGTTGCTCTCATACAGGAACATGCAGGGGCCTTTCAGGGCCACAGCAGGAAAGGGTGAGCCTTTGGGGGTGGATCTTGGCAGATGGGATGTTTGTGTTGAGGAAAGACTCTTCAGATTGCCTCTGTTTCCTCAGTTAGATAAGAAGCAAAGTCAGCAGCTACGAGGGAGGCTGGGTGGAAGGGAGGAGTGAGGAGAGAACTGAAACCTCCTCGAGAGAAAAGCCAGCAGGGTGGCATTACTCAGAGGTGTACTTTTGCCAGACAAGTACCGCAAACGGAAAGAGGCGTGATTATGATGGTGGATTATAAGTAAGGAAGAATTGAGGACAGGAGAAAGTGAAAAACAGAAAAAAGGTGGTAGAATGTATGGGTGATAAGTGGTCCTGGATGGGGTCAAGCAGCTTCTGGTGGAGAAGTGACTTTGGTGATACTGGATGCTGGAAGGGTAGCACAGCAATACTTTCAAAGTTCTGAATAAAAATTATTTTCTTCCTAGAAGTCTATAAAATGTCAAACCATGAGTCAAACTGTAAATTAAAAGACATTTTTTCAGCCCTGACCGGTTTGGCTCAGCGGTTAGAGCGTTGGCCTGCAGACCAGAGTCCTGGGTTTGGTTCCCACTAAGGGCACGTACCTCGGTTACAGTTTGTCCCTGACCCCAGTTGGGGTTGTGTGAGACGCAACCAGTCGATGTGGCTCTATCGCATTGATGTTTCTCTCTGTCTTTCTCTCTCCCTCCTTCCCACTCTATCTGATAATAAGTAGGAAAAAAAAAAGTAAATTAATGCCTGGCCATAGCTCAGTGGTTAAGCATCTACCCATGCACTAAGAGGTCGCTGATCTGATTCCCAGTCAGGGCACATGCCCACATTGTGGGCCCGATCCCCAATGGAGGGCACGCAGGAGACAGCTGATCAGTGCTCTTATCAGTGTCTCCATCTCTCTCTCCCCCTCCCTTCTTCTCAGTCTAAAATCAATAAAGATAATAATATTTTTTTAAAAAAGTAAATTAATGGCAAAGATAATGTACACATTGGTAAGTTCCAGCAAGATGCTAGTGTTCATATGCTCTTAGGAATTCTTATTCTAAGAAAGCTCACTGAAGGCAACATTTGAAGTACCAACTATTCCAAGACAAGCACCAGAAAGTGGCAAACAACTTCTTTCTGTAAACATTTTATTACAGTGATGCTGAAGCCCATGTAGCGGAAAGGGTGAATAAATTAGCACCTCACCTTGCTACTCCACCATAATCCAAACCTTCTTCTCCACGAAATTTTACCATTAGTCGCTTTTTCAAGTCTTTTGGTCGCATCTTCATTATCTGGCGATAAGACTCCTATATATAAAAATTTCAGTTTTAGAAGAACTTTTCTTAAAGTAATAAAAAGATGAAAGGTTACGGATAATGGAGCCCGATTCAAAATAAACAACCATTCAAATCCGAGGTCTATCTGGTTCCTATTCAGAATTTTTATACAGGGTGGGGCAAAAGTAGGTTTCCAATTGTTCATATGAAAAATAATGCAATAATTAATAAATAATAATATAAGAATAAACTGTGTTTTGTGTACTCATAACTGTAAACCTACTTTTGCCCCACTATGTATTCATCAACTTTTCTCCCACTATGTCTAGCTTAGAAACTACAACAAAACAAACATGTACTATGTAATACTGTATCTAAAGGAAACATTTATTTTCAGCACAATCACTAATGACTTCAGAACAAACGTCCTCATTAGAATTAATTTTCTCTACACAAATTAATTTCAGGGTGTCCTATAAACACTTTATATGTGTCTATGTGTGTGTGTGTGTATATATATATTTTAATCCTCACCAGGAATCAAACTGGCCACCTTTTGGTGCCTGGGACACTCACTCAATCACTGAGCCACTGGCCAGGCTACATATTTTAACTAAAATGAAGACATCACTAGGGAGTCTGAATATTAAAAGAATTCTGAGCCTGTTTTTATATCTGAAACTTATCCAAAACAGAAAACACGTGGTCAGCCCAATATTCCCTCAGATTGTGCATTTTGAGTAGAACTAGCTAATGTTTGTAGATATTTTCAAGTGATAAGGCACTTAAAAATCTTTTCATGCTTTAAATTGAATGTAATTCAAACTCTGCCATCCCAAGAGGGAAAGAGGAGGCTGAGTGGAAATGATCTGGCAGCAAAATGTCAATAATTTGGCTACCATTTGAGACTGCTCGATGGGCAAGACTGAGCATGCTGGCTGACCCACTTGTCCAACACCAGCTGTGCACAAGGACTACTATGGCTCTGGGTACGTCCTCAGTGCCCTTTGCTTGAAGAGGCCCTGGGCTCCCTCAGGGGCTGTAGCCCAGTGAGAATCTGCTCAGTTCTTACCCACGTTCATTTGGTCATGCCTGCCAATGGTTCCACAAAGGAAGGCAGGTTATGAACCAAACACAGCTGAGATTTTACCTTATGATCATGCTCCCTGAGAAAAGGGCCCTGTCTACAAGAGGGTCCTGCCTGTGTGGGGACCCTGACCCCACAGAGGGCTGTACAAGGGGCAGAGTCCTTCCCAGGAACCATGTGATCTTCCTACTTCCAGAAGAGACAACAAGGTGGCCATTTGGCCACTAAGAGTCTCTGAGGAGGCAGTGCCATTAGATCGAATTTCGTGAGGCCACAGCAGAAGGAATAGCTGGTTATGAGCCAAGTGAAGATCACAGGGTTATAAATCTACGTAATGTAGATACAGGGATTTGCAGTATTTAGTTCTACTTTCTATGTACATCTCTAGGTTTTCACCCTAGAAATCATCTGGGTTTTTAAGCTTTTACCACAGGAGTGAATACAGTTCCCTCTGTACACGGCACTGGTCCTGATGCACCCTCCATTTCACATTCACAGAGTAACAAACTCAACATCTGAAGTACCAAACAGAAAGACTTGCTCACTGAAGTGCAGAAATGGCTGATAGAGCAGCTCCCTTAGAGCACCCCCTTAAAACAAAGGTTACTCAGGAGGTGATTCTTCAGGCTGAGTCACCTTACTTGTTCATTAACATGAACTTCAAACCTTCAGGTACCTCAAATATTTCTTCTCTCGAAACTTCAATGCGGCAATGACCAGCTTGGGGTTGCTGAAGTGAGAGCTCATGTCTGAGGACCTTCAGTTTCTGAACTAAATCTCTTTCGTATCTCTGGGCGGGAAGTTCCTCATCTTCCACGGAGCCCTCGCTGGGCAATGGCAGCGGCTGGCTGGGCTCCTTTAGTTGGCACTGGTGACTTGAGAAGAACAGAAGCATCAAATCACTCCAAAAGCAGTGGCCAAGGGAGCTGCTAGCAATGCTCCCCCTGCACCCCCCACCCTACAAGAGACCGGAAGAGAGTTTGTTATACAGAACTTCAACTAGACATTTTTTTCCTCTGGTGACATGGATATGTAAAGACTGCTGGTGGCCATCATTAGCCCAACTCTAGGTCTAGGATTCAATAAAGGAGCTACCCCACTTCCAAGCAACAGCTTAGCTTATACATTATCACTGCTATAAATAAAAACAGTAATTGCTATCATGTATCTAGTATGTATAGAGACTGACCAGCGCACTGTTAGAAATGCCTTGGCCACTAGAACTAAATGGAGTGTATGGGAACAGTTAACAACAGATTACAGTGGAGGGAGCAATATGCACAGGGGCAAACCATGCAAGTGAAATCAAATAGTAACCAATCCTCATTTTCAGAACCAACAGACTGTTAAACCCACTCATTAAAAGCAAACTTCCAGTAAAATACAAGAACTAGGCCTGGCAGAGGGGCAAGGTGGCACTTCTCTCGCTCAAGTTCACTACTAATACCAGTTGTCAGTGAGAAGAGCCACGGGGGCTCTTACGTTCCGAGGACACAACACACCTGGAACACAGTGTGAGAGCCAAGGTGATTCCCAAGTCTAAGTTATCCAGGGTGACAGACACAGGAAGGGGCTCCAGTAAGTGGCATTATTGACTGTGGCAGTCCTTCTAGACTGTGATGAGTGGGCACTAAGGGAAGAGCTAATTTTACTGCTCCTTACTTAAGAGCCATGCATTTCATCACAGTGCTACCTGTGGAAGCCTCATCAATGAACCTGCCTAATACTGCCATCTCGGTAAATTTAATTTTGGCTGTAGGCAAGAAAAGGTGGCAACAGCAACAAAATATGGTTTCAGTGCTGTTCATAGCTAACTTGAGAGTTTAAAACATGCAATTGTCCACCCAATATTTATCATATTTTGCTTACTCATATTCTCCACTAACAAACAATGCAGTATCTAAGTTAAGAAAAATATTAGAAAACATCAAATGATAAATGTAAGAAGTCAACAAAGATTGTGTAAAAGTCTTACTTCATGATGTGGTGTAACCTTGGGTCTGTAAACTGGGTTGTTCGGTTATTATGATCTACAAAGTATATTCTTCCAGAAACTGTGCTTCTGACTTCCCAACCTGGTGGCAGTGGTCCAAGTTCATCACAATTCACACTGTTAAGGTCTCTACCAAAATGGAAGATACAGAGAGGTTTGTCCACCTGAGTACGGAGGCATAAAACCAAAACTACAGCAAAAGGAACCACAGGAGTCCCTTCTCAATGCGGCCACGTACCAGTTCTGCTAAGAGGGACAGTCATGGTGCTACTTACGCCAAACTCTTGCTGAATCCAGGCTCTGTGCTGCGAGTGGCAGCAAAACCCAACTGATAACAATAAAACTTTCAGAGCCTATAACCACATGAAGGAACATGGTCTACGCAGGGAACATCATTTCTTACTCAAAGAGGGTCAAATAGTAGAAAGTATCTGAATGCTTCTGGAAAACTATCTGAACTCACAAGTTAAATGAAATGTTCAAGGTCAGAAAGGTTGCTTCATCAAAAAGCCCCCAGACAATACAAGTTTTTTTGAAGCTGATGGGATATATTACCATGCATTTGAAATCTCACAATTCTAAACAGCTGCACTGGGAAGAGGTGTTCTCATTTTTGGGTTGGTATTGTTAGTAACTGTTTATAATTCAACCTCTTGATGAATTATTTCAATGTAATCCACAGTCATATGGGAGCACAGCATTACTGACCAAGATGCTTTTCTAATTAGCACAAAAGCCTGGCATTTCTTATAGTGGGTACTGAAGAGACACCTCATCCATTTGCAGGTGATATTTCCATTCTGATTATAGATACTGAATCATAAATTTAACACAGACTTGGAAAATCAAAGACAGGAAGCTTATTCTCAGATGAGACAAATTATGAATAAAAAGGAAATGAGCATTACTAAAAAATGTTATTAGGTAGTAATGCTATTCTAAAACAAACAAACAAAATGTTTAAAAAAGCGAAGCAAAGCAAAGCAAAGAAAAAAAGAAATATAACTCTGTTATGGGGTAGGGGTGGGGATCTCTCTGACCTGGGCTCAGATGTATGGCCTTGTAGAAGGAATTCGTATAGTAAAGCTTCATCTCCCCCAGGAATGGTCCCAAAGGGACTGAGGCAATAGGGACAGTAAAGTAGAAGAGAGAAAGGGTAATAGAGTCTTTATAGTTCCTTTTAATGCTTTGTTATGGAAAATTTTAAGCATATAAAAAGTAGAGAAACCATAATGAATAGCCAACTTCAACAATTATCAAGAGATTGTCAACCTATTTCAGATATCCCCTATATTCACTTCCCCACCCTAATTATTTGAAGCAAGTCCCAGACATCATATCATTTTATCCATTAATATTTTTAGTTTACAATGAGAACACATCTTGAAGGGTTTATTGGCTTTCCAAGTCAGAGCACGTTTGATTTAATCTAGAGGTGAGGGCATGTTTTGGTTATGTGACCTGATTTCCAGATCCAGGCTTGTTTTCTACAGGACCCTTGGTTCTAGTAGCTGCTGCTTTACCAGGTGGAGCTGGGACACTCACCTGGAGAGAATGAGTCCAAGACCTCAGGGCAGGTCCCCTCTGAGCTGCCACTCCTCCAAGTTCACATCTTTTAACCTAAAGGGCTCTCTCATCCACCAGCAACTGCCGGAAAACCGACTTTGGTGGGAATTTTGGAAACCTACCTTGGGATTCGGGGGTCGTGCCATGTGCTAACGCCAGTCTGTGTGTGCAAAAAGTAAACTTGCCCCTGCACTGTTGTTCTTTGTTCTGTACAAGAAATCGGGGGATACAATTAGTTAAATTCAATTGCAAGGAGAGTTTTCAACCAGTCCTTTAAGCAGAGACTAAGCTTCTTTTCAACACAGTTTAAAATCACCCAGAAAAGGAATTATAAGAGCGGTGATTTATGTCTGCCAGACTTCCTCACATCAGAAGCCCTATGTAGACATTCGAGCCTATCTTCCTCGCTCCGGTTCACACCCGAAGAGGCTGTGCTCTCTTTACTTAGAGTCCTGGAGGAGTCGCTTTGTGTGTATCCACCACCTCAGGGCTGAGCTGACCTTAGCTCTCTTCCCTCCATTGCTCTTACTTCTGGCCTGAGGTACCAAATCTAAATCACATCCCTCCTTTATTAGGTTCTCCCCTTTCGGTAGTCAAATAATCCCTTCTTTCAATCTTATCCCCTACTGTCCTTTCCACATTCAAATCACAGAGCACTACAAATACCCTCATCTAGCCTGCACACCATCCTGATTTTCTTGGATATTTATTTGCCTTATATTTTCACACAATTGCTAAACTGGGAGATGGTACAATGCGGACAACTTTGTGATGAGCAAGATTTGTCACCATCCTTTTCCATTTACTCGTCTTTATACTGACACAACCACTGTAGAGCACAGCTCTGCAAGCATCAGCAGTTAAGGCATGTACAAGTTACTGAAACGGTTTAACAAATTCAAGTTCTCTGAAACATTGTAGATAATGCTCATGACAGTGGGGTGAATTCCCTCACCGTAGCCTTCGGGCAGTTCTGGTGACTGGTGGCCATGTGGTCGGTTCTGAGGTGTCTGGAGGGACCCTCGGATCTCGGGGTTTCGAAGTCGTTGTGTCTGAAGTCTTTGATCTTGACCTGGGGATTCCCCAAACCTGCAGTTCCCTCCACCAGCAGCCGCACCGGTACTATCTGTGTAAGGGGCAGGTTCCTCCATGAAGCAGCTGAGTGGCCTTCCAGGCCCTGAGTCTTCATATACAGTTCTGAAAGGGGGCAGGGCACAGCACGCATGAGCACACTGGCTGAGGACAAGGACCTGAAAACTCAATGCGTTGCTCTCACATCCATTTATTTTGCTTTTCTTGAACAATATATAATGTCCCAAGTGCTTAGTTTCATAAAATTAATCCTGTCCTATTTAAATAAAGACTTTTGTAGAAACAAGTGGCTAAAGGGAGCCATATGCATAGTGCCACCAAAGCCACCTGCGGGATTTTATCCTCGGGTAAAGCTGAATGTTTGGAAAAACCAACCATGGACTATAAGGAGTTCATGAAATGAGATTTGATTTTTCTTGATTTAAAGTCAAATCCAATTACTCCATTTTCCTCTATAATAAAACTTCTGGTTACATAAAATAATGCAATGACTTTAAGTATTCTTTAACATAAATCTTCATCCCCCCTGAGCAATTCTGAAGATAATTTACCAATAGGCTATTTTCCCTTAGAAGAAAGTACTTTTAAAAAACATTTTACATTGAAAAATTTTAAATATATTCACAAATTGGGAGACTCATCTCCCAGGCTCATCATTCTGCTACAGTAACGGCTGTCTCACAGCTACTCTTCCAAGTCCTCCTCTCCTCTGGATTATTCTGAAACCAATCCCAACAACTTTACATTTCATCCTTAAATATTTCAGCATATACCTCTAGAAAAAAAGACTTTTTCCATTATGTCTAAAAATGTACATTATTTTTAAAATACCATCAAATACCAGCCAGTGTTCAATTTCTCCAGTCAATCGTCTCCATCAGGATGAAAGCGAGGTCCACACGTTGCATTTAGTAGGTATGCCTCTTAGGTCTTTTATTATTAATTTATAGGTTTTCTTCCTTCCTTGTGATCGATTTATTTTTCTAGCATGTATCTGTGAAGACACTGGGCTGTGTCTTTTATAGCCTACCGAGTGTCCCCTTCTTGGTAGTGATGGTTGCATTCCTTTGGGACTGTGCAACACATTCTCCTGTCGCTGGATTTCCAAGAAGTATGTTGATGTCAGATTACCTTTCTTTTGTGATGTTGTTAATAACTATTAATAATAATTATCAACCAGCTTCATTAATTCATTGGGGATCGTAACATTGTGATAATGACCAATGAGAGTTTTCGGGGTATTTTTTGTAAAAAGTGTTTTAGGGTTCTTTTTTTCTCTTTCTGTGCCATTATAAACACATTATGTTCTTTTGTTGTTGTTAATCCTCACCTGAGGATATTTTTTCAATTGATTATTTTTATAGGGAGAGTGGAAGGGAAGGAGGGAGGGAGAGAAAGAAATACTAATGTGGGAGAGACACAGTGACTGCCTCCCACACATGTCCCAACTGGGGCCGGGGATCAAACCTGCAACCCAGGTATGTGCACTTGACTAGGCATTGAACTCGAGACCCTTTGGTCCTTGGCCAATGCTCTAAACACTGAGCCAAACCGGCCAGGACTAATGTTCGTTTTAAATATATTTGATGTGTTTCAATCTATTAGTTATAATTCTTACTGATGCTCAAACTGTTTCATCTTTGGCCAGTGGGAACATCTTTAAATTGGATCCTGAGTCTTCGGGGCACAACCCCACCAGTTTGTACAACTTTCTTTATAAACAAGGAAGCTGGATGCCAGTTTTATCCCAAAGTCCTTTCCTGTATCTCAAGCATTCAGCATAGTGAAAAGATGTGAAGGATACTTTCACATAGAGCGAGAGCCTAAGGCAGCAGAGAACTCAGCAGGTATTGCCAAGGTGATACGTACCCTTCATTTTCTAACAGTCCTCTGCAGTCTACCACAGACCCTCCAGTGCCTATTCTGTCTCGTGTCTGTAAACTGACTAAAACAGAAAAGAACGTCTTGCATTAAAATCCAATGGTATTTTATACAATTGTAATACAGTGAGCCATTGCGAATGCATAATTTATGCACAATATTATTTTTTAAAAGCGAGGCATGTGCATATACATACACACAAATATTCCTATGCTTTCAAGCATGAAGTATTTTACCCCGTAGCTGCATACCATCATATACCGCCTGGAACATTCCTGATAAATGTGGAGCAGAAAGAGGTGCTGTGTTTTTCGTGCTCTCCATAAACATAACAGAACACAATATTCACTTCCTCTAAGTTACCTTATCCTTTAAGGAGATTTTGACATGTTTAACAAGGACACAGAGAGCACTTTCAGTATTTGTAAAGTCTAGATGAATCCACATATTTATTTTCAGTGGCTACTACAAACAAGAAAGACATTTATGAAGTTGCTCCCAGTTATTCATTTTCTCCTGGCATATCCCTCCACAAAGAAAAGAAGAAATAAAAAACAGAAAAGCATTCAGTGAGAACTTTTTCATTATGACAGTTTTAGGATCTATACCCACTGTTCATTTATCTTGGGTCAAGTCTACATAAGGCAATACCTGAAAGATTTGGGGTCACTCTGGTGTGCTGCTGACATACTATGCTTTCTTTGATTCCTTGCAATGCACACAATCAGCATAGAGCATTTTAGAGTAACTCTAAAACTGAGTGGATAATATAATGAGCTACTTAGCAGATAAATCACTTCCAAGAGAATACTGCCAGTCAACATTTTGTAACATTAGCACATTTTATTTGTTCATTCTAAATAATTCAATCCTCTAACTCTATAAAATCATATTACATGGAAGTCTTCAGAAATCATCTTTGCTTTTTACATATATGATGGGTTTTCCAGAAGAAACTATTTCTTAACTATTGCATATGTGGCCACCATTCTTATCAACTACCTCTGGATAAAACAAAGACAAATTAATTATCCATTACGCGATGACTAAAATGACATTTAAAATTATAACCCTGTATCTTTTTGTACCTTAGTCATTTTAACTCAACTCTGAATAACAGGTTGAAGAGAATTAGACAAAATAATAAAAACTAGACAAGATGAAACGTTTTAGTGCTGAAGAGATGGCCCCTGTAAGTGGTTTGTCCTTTGAAGTAGGTCAACACGCCAGTGCCTGTGTGTGTTTTCTCAGTGATGAAGAGTTGAATGTTAAGTTGTGCAAAAGCATCTCTTTATACAGATGAGAAAGTTCTTACCCACTATTTGGCCACGAACTGCATCAGTATCTGAGGGATTTAGTTTGCATAGATCCAAACGCTGGTCTGCAAACAAACAATTCAAAACTTAACCCAGGGAAATGTTAACTAGGGAGGAAGGCAGGAATTCTGTATTCAGTATTAAAAAAAAAAAAAAGATGCCTCACAAGCCTTCTTCAGTTGCACTAAGAGGCAGAAAAGCGTTTGGTTCTTACATCCAGTATCTTTTAATCTGCTGATGGTATTGGAGAGCAGCCGAACACAGCCCAGGAAGCCAGCTCCCTGCTTCTTGTGAATTTTCTTGTGGTTCCACACGCTGATAGTTATAGAATCAGTTTTCCCAACATATCTAAAAACAACATGCAAACTCACTTTTAATTGTATTTCTGAATTATGATGGCCTACTGAGATTTTACCTGACTGACTTGTTAGTACAGAAGAATGCTGTTAAAATAATGCTGGTTCTATATTCCACATGTAGCAGGCACTCAATATATATGTCTACTAATTTCAAAGGGCTGGGAAAAGAACAATAACCAGTTATGTAAGAAGTAACTGTAGATAACCACATAAAGTAATAATCTTATAACAGAGATTTTATATATATATATATATATATATATATATATTTACATATATATATATTTCTCACCTGAGGATATGTTTATTGACTTTAGAGAGAGAGAAAGGTAGAGAGAGAGAAAGAAAGAGAGAGACAGAGAGAGAGAGAGAGAAAGAGACAGAGAGAGAAACATCAACTGGTTGTTTCCTGTACACGCCCTAAATAGGGATCTAACCTGCAACCTAGGTATTTGTCCTGATTGGGAATTGAACCTGCAAACTTTTTGGTGTACAGGACGATGCTCCAACCAACTGAGCCACCTGGTTGGAGTGAGATTTACCATATTTTATTAGGTCCAAAGGACAATGACATGATTCATAAATTCCTACTAATGTTAGGCTTACTATTGAACACTAGTTTGCAACAGAGGACTACCTATAAACCCATAGATCCATCCAAAGAACATTAATGGGTGCTAACTCAGACACTGACCCCCTAGTTACTCTCAGTGCAATTCAACCGAAGAGGGGAGATTTCAGGACAAGAATTGACAACACTTTTCAGGCCACTTATGGTACCTTACAACTGAAAGTGACTCTTAAAATCCAGCTATGAAAAATCCCACCAAAACCCAGTACAATTTGTGTTAACAAAAAAACCCAATAATCATTCAGTATTACTTTAATAAAAATTTCTTAGCAGGAACATGGAAACATAAGTGTATATAAAATAGTGGCTTTCAAAGTGTAATCCATTTTATGAATAAATATAAAGAATTGTTTGATGGTATATAGGTTTATATACATTCAATTATACCAAGCTAAGAGAAAATACATTTGTACTAAAAGGCAGAATTTTAAAAAATCTACAGAAACATATGTAATATGTATTTGCATAATAAATACGTATAATAATAATGTATTTTTAAAGTAAAAACTCTAAAACTAAGTTTAGGATTTCACTAAAAAAAGTTAGCATAAAGAGGACCTAAACTATGGCCTTTTTTTTCCTGTTAGAGTAGCCAGCAGATTGAAAAGTCACAGAAGATCACAGTTACAGAAGCAAACCATAAAAATCCATCAAAATGTCAAATGCAAGAACTTCCAAGTATATGAATTTTAAAATTAGGCAGTATTGATTTGGCCATCTACTTTTGTTATAAAAAATAAGTTGTAAATCCCTTTTTTTTAAAAAAAATGAAATGCTTCTCTTAAAAGCTAGATACCTACTTTCCTGCAGCTCCCACATGGCTTACAGAATATTCAACTCACAGATCATAGTGCTGGTTCCACTTTGGGTCCAATGTGTTTTTCACAGTGTCCGTTGAGTGGCACTGCCCTGATCCATCCACAACAATCTTTGCAAAAGGGTCAGGGAGTCCTGGAGAAGAGGGGACAGTCACACCTGGATGAGACTACACAGCTATCAATGTGACATTAGAACATAGTCTTGCAGGCTAATGGGAGCTTCAAAATCCTCTAATTTGGTAAAGAAGATTACCCTAGTTATTCTCCAATTTAAAGTTAGTTCAATCTACTTAACTTTCTATTAAGGGCAACCCAGTATGACATCACCCTCAGATTTTTAGAGGCTAGGAAAAAAAAAAAAACACTAAAAAAATAGACTTAAATTCAAATCCCCATTTTTTTTTTTATCCTCACCCGAGGACATTTTCCCATTTTTTTGTTCAGGTAGAGTGGGAGGGAGAGAGAGGAACAGAGAGAGAGAGAGAAACATCGATGTGAAAGGAACACATCGAGTGGCTGCCACCCACACGACCGACCAGGGCTGGGGACAAACTGCAACCGAGGTACATGCCCTTAGCGGGAACCGAACCCGGGTCTCTCCGGACCGCAGGCCGATGCTCTAACCGCTGAGCCAAACCGGCCAGGGCCAAATCCCCATTTTTGATGATCAATTAAGGAAAGCTAATTAAATGGAGGAAAGGTATCTATAATTAATTGTATTTAAACTTTCTAAAAAATAATACTTATAAATCTTGTTTACTGACTTGTCAATTTTATCTCTGGAAGCAAGTATTCAGTGAGTCTTAATAAGTTAAGCTCCTAAATGAATCAGACAGGTTTGTAAGATCAGAAAGGTGGCAAGGTACCTGTTTCAGAAACAGACCTGGAAGTGAGCCACCACTCTGGAGATTCCTAGCTACTTGAATAAAGCCTGTGAGCCGAGGTTTGTTCATTTTAAAGTGTGAATAATACCTCTTAAGAACTGAGTAGTGTTCTTGAGAGGATCAGAAAAAGGGTGAAAAATTTCAAGCTGCAGGCACCTACTTTATAGTAGGTGAGTTAAGGGGCCAGTTCTTTCTTTAGAAAAAGATCCTCTACTTTTTACAATTCCTTTAATTACAAGGCTTTTAAAATGTGATTTAATTTGTAAAATTTGACAAAAATTTTACTTAAACTCAGCTATTTTATAGAAAAATGTCTCATCTGTATTTGAGCTGAGAACACTTTATTCAGCAGAAAGTAATACATGAATGGGTGGTAAGAAAGAGAAAACAGGGTGTGGCTGAAATAGGGAATGAGATAACTTTTCTTGTATGAGTTATAAATTCGGTGCCTTACAGCTAAGGAGTCTATCTATGTTGCAGTCAACTGGGAAATGAAGTTTGTCAAACCATGGCTTTCTATTCAGTACAGGGCAGGATTTTTAGGAGACTGCACCGTGTTTTGTTGTTGTTTTCTTTTTTAAAGTTACAAACATTTTTGAAAAATTACTTTTTAAAGATATGTTTTTATTGATTTTTTTTTTTTGAGAGAGATAAAAACACCGATCAGCTGCCTCCTGACGTCCCCTCCCTATTGGGGATTCAGCCTGCAACCCCGGGCATGTGCCCAGATGGGAAACCAAACCGGGACCTCTCAGTCCATGGGACCATGCTCAATACACTTAGCCACAGCAGCTGGGACACAGTGTTTTTAACAAGTTTAAAATTTCGAAAAATATTAATATTGTAAGAGAGCAAAAATGGGTGTTTACTTACTGAAGAAGTCTTTCTTTGCAAGGTTCTTGGCACACAATACTAAAAACAAACAAAAAATGCTAGGGTTAGCATTTATGGACAAGATTTTCACCATAGCTAGTTGCTATGGACTAAACTGTCTCTCATCCCCCAAATTCATATTGAAGCCCTATCCACAATGTGATGGTATTTGTATATGGGGCCTCTGGGAGGCATTTAGGTTTCTATGAGGTCATGAGATTAGGGCTCTAATGATGGGATCAGTATCTTTATAAGAAGAGACCACAGAGCTTGCTCTCACTCTGTTCTCCATGTGAGGGAACAGCAAGAAAGTGATGAAGACAAGCCAGGGAGAGGCCCCTTACTAAGAACCAATTCTGTTGGCACCTCAATCTTAGGCTTTTGCAGTCTCCAGAACTGTGAGAAATAAATGTTTACTGTTTAAGTCATCTAGTCTATGGTATTTTGTTATAGCAGTCCAAACAAACTGAGACAATTGTCTATATTGATAATGAAAAAAAATCTAAAAGTTATCTTTGCCAATGATTGCCTTTCAAATGTAGTACTACATTTTAAACAAAAAAAACTGTCAAATAACTAAAAAGTGTTTTCTCCTCCAATCAGGAATCACTATAACAAGTACAAAATGTTTCAGTTTTAACTTCTTAAAATCTTACTTAAACACATACAGATAGATTTATCAATATGCTCTTATAACTGTTTTAAGAGCACATAAATACCTTTTTAGCTACCATTAACAACAACAAAAGAAATTGTGTATTTTTTTTAACCCTCACCCTAGGATATTTTCCCATTTATCTTCAGATAGAGTGGGAGGTAGGGAGGGAGGGAGGGAGATAGGAAGGGTTGAGTTGGGGGGAGAGAGAGAGAGATATCTACGTGAGAGAGACACATCGATTGATTGCCTCATGCACGACCCCCACCAGAGCTGAGGACCCTACCACAACTGAGCTATGTGCCCTTGACCAGAATTGAACCTGCGACTCTTTGCTCCACGGGTCGACACTAACCACTGAGCCAAACTGGCCAGGGCAGAAATTGTGCATTTTTGATATTCTGATAAATACAATTTTGTAAGTGTAAACTTCAGTATGTTGGGGAATAGGAAGCAAGGGGAGAGTAACAGAAAACATGGGGCCATCATTAGGTGTTGTGAAAAACAAATGACAAAATGTATGTTAATTTAGAAAAATGTTGGCATATAGAAAGAATGCAATAAATGCTATTATCTTATTAATGAGGTGGTATCAATTACTGTTAAGAAATTTTGACACTAGATCGGTTACATGATTAACCGATTAAGGGAGGGAGAGAGAAACATTGATTGGTTGCCTCTTGTGTATGCCCTAGCCAGGGGAATCAAACCTGTGACCTTTTGGTGTATGGGATGATGTACAACTGAACCACACTGGCCACACTGGTAATTTTGTTAATTTTAAAGAATATGTGTTTTGTTATGAACTTATAAATATTTTACAAAAATATATTCATATAATATATATTGTTCTGCAAACTTTTCACTTAGTATACTTTTTATATAACATTTATCAAAATATAATTCATATACTACACAATTCACCCATTTAATGTATATAATTCAATGTTTTTTTGTATACTCAGGGTTATACAACCATCACCACAATGAATCTGGAACATTTTCATCATCCCCTGAAGAAATCCCTTACCAATTAGCAGTCACTCTTTTTTTAAATTATTATTTTTTTATTTTATCCTCATCCCATCCCAGGACATTTTTCCATTTTTTGTTCAGACAGAGTGGGAGGGAGGGAGGGAGAAAGAGAGAGAGAGAGAGAGAGAGAGAGAGAGAGAGAAACATTGACACATTGAGGCCCAGGGACAAACTGCAACCGAGGTACATGCCCTTAGTGGGAACTGAACCCGGGATTCTTTGGACTGCAGACGCTCCAACAGCTGAGCCAAACCAGCCAGGGCAGCAGTCACTCTTTTTTGTTGTTGTTGTTGTTCAGATAGAGTGGGAGGGAGAGAGGGAGAGAGAGAGAGAGAAACATCGACATGAAAGGGACACATCGAGTGACTCCCACCCACATGACCAACCAGGGCCGGGGACAAACTGCAACTGAGGTACATGCCCTTAGCGGGAACCGAACCCTGGTCTCTCTGGACCGCAGGCCGACGTTCCATCCGCTGAGCCAAACCGTCCAGGGCAGCAGTCACTCTTAATTTAACTTCAAATCCTCCAGTCCAAGGCAGTCACTAATCTAATTCAGGTCTCTGTGGACTTGCCTATTCTGGCCATTTCATATAAATAGAATCATATGATATGTGGTATTTTGTGACTGCCTTTTCACTTAGCATGTTTTTAAAGTTCATCCCTGTTGTAGTATGAATCCATTTCTTTTCATAACTGAGTTAAGAGTCCATTGTATTAATATACCACATTTTCTTTATTGATTTATCAATGGATGTACAGTTGCGGGTGTGGGGGGGGGGGGTTCTGTCTTTTGGTTATTGTGAATAATGCTTATACAAAGTTGTGTAGACAAAGAGTGGAGTTGCTGAGTTATATGTTTAACACTTTGAGAAATAATCAGAGTGCTTTCCACAGCACCTGCACCACTTTATATTCCCACCAGCAGTGTATAAGTGTTTTGAGTTCTCCACATCCTCGACTACTATTTGTTACTATCTGCCTCTGTGGTTTTATACCTGTGGTTTTAATGTGCATTTTTCTCTAATGACTTTGAGCATCTTTTCATGTGCTTATTAGCTATTGGTATATGTTTTTGGAGAAATTTCTACTTAGATGTTTTGCCTATTTTTAAATTTATTATTCGCCTTTTTATCTAAAGATAAAATATACTTATCAGATTTGCAAATATTCTCCCATTTTGTGGGTTGTCTTTTCACTTTCTTGATGTTGTTCTTTCAAGCATCTATGTTTTTATTTTTATTAAAAAAAATTTTTTTCTGCCCTGGCCAGTTTGGCTCAGCGGTTAGAGTGTCAGCTCATGGACCAGAGAGACCCAGGTTCGGTTCCTGCTAGGGGCATGTGCCTCTCGGTTGCAGTTTGTCCCCGGCCTCAGTTGGGGTCATGTGGGTAGCAACCAGTCGATGTGCCTCTCACATCGATGTTTCTCTCTCTCTTCCTTCCGCTCTATCTGAAGATGAATAAATGCAAAAGTGTCCTCAGGTGAGGATAAAAAAAAATTTTTTTTCTTTATTGATTTCTAGAAAGAGAGGAAGGAAGAAGGAGATAGAAACATCAATGAGAGAGAACATCAACTGGCCACCTCCTGCATGCCCCACCCTGGGGATCAAGGCCCACAACCCAGGCATGTGCCCTGACCAAGAATCGAACTGGCGACCTCCTGGTGCATGGGTCGATGCTCAACCACTGAGCCTCACCATCCGGGCTTACTGTTACATTACTCTTAAACAGACATATAGGTCTATGATCTATTTTTAGTTCATTTTTGTGTGTGATGTGAAAAGGGGTCCAACTTTATTCCTCTGTAGGTGGATATACAATTGTACCAGCACCATTTGTTGAAAAGAGTATTCTTTTCCCATTGACTTGTCTTGACACCTTTGCTGGAAAACAATTCACTATAAATGAGTTTATTTGTTGATTTTCAATTCTATTCCATTAATCTACATATCTTTCCTCATGCCATGACCACACTGTCTTGAATACTGTCTTAGGTTGTTCAGGCTGCTATAATACTATAGACTGAGTAGCTTATAAATAACAAACATTTATCCCTCAGTTTTGGAGGCTGAAAGTCCAAGATCATGGTGCACGGTTGGGTGAGAGCTCTTTCAGATCGCAGACTTCTCGTACCCTCACATGGCAGAAGGGGCTAGGGATCTCTCTGGAGTCTCTTTTATAAGATATTAGGGTTCTACCTTCATGACTTAAACAACTCCCCAAGTCCCCACCTACTAATACCATCATCTTTGGGGGGTTAGTATTTCAACATACAAATTGGGAGCCTGGGGTAGGGGGGAGGACATGAACATTCAAACTGTCACAATTACCACAGCTTTGTAGTATGTTTTTAAATTAGGACGTATAAGTCCTCCAACTTTGTTTTTATACAATATAATATTGTATAGAAGGAAGGAGTAGGCATTCTTGTCTTATTCCTGATTTTAGGGGCAAAGCATTTGTTCTTTCAACCATTGTGTATGTTAGCTGTGGGGGTTTTTTTTGTTTGTTTTTGTTTTTTATCCTCACTGGAGGACATTTTTGCATTTATCTTTAGAGTGGGAGGGAGTGAGGGAGGAAGAGAGAGAGAGAAATATCAATGTGAGAGAGACACATAGAGAGGTCGCCACCCACATGACCCCAACCTGGGCCAGGGACAAACTGCAACAGAGGTATGTGCACTTAGCAGGAACTGAACCCGGGACTCTCTAGTCCGCGGGCCGACGCTCTAACTGCTGAGCAAAACTGTCCAGGGCTTAGCTGTGGGTTTTTTACAGGTGTCCTTTATTAGATTGGGGAAGAATTTTTTCTGTTCCTAGTTTGTTGAGCATTTATTTTTTTAAATCATAAAGGGGTGTTAGCTATTGTCAAAGGCTTTTTCTGCATCTATTGAGATGATAATTTGGTGTTTGTCCTTTGTTTATTGATAGGATGTGCTATATTAATTGCTTTTCAGATGTTAAACCAATACTGCATTTTGAGATAAATTCCACTTGGTTGTGGTGCATAACCCTTAATGTGCTGCTGTATTCAGTTTGCTAATATTTTGCCAAGTATTTTTTTGTGTGTGTCTATATTCATAAGGGATATTGGTCTGTAGGTTTTTGTTTTATTTTAGGTTTGTTTGTATTGGGGTGACACAGACCTCATAAAATGAGTTAGAAAGTATTCTCTCTTGTTCTTTTTTTTAAAAAAGAATTTGTAAAGAAATGGTATTCATTCTTTTTGATGTTTAGTAGAATTCACCAGTAAGACATCTGGGCTTGATTTTTTTTTTTGGTAGAAAGTGTTTTTCAATCTCTTTACATTTTTATAGGTCTATAAGATTTTCCATTTCTCTTGTGTGCCT